ATGATATACTGTATAGATTATTAAAGTTTACTAATAGAGAAACATTGTAAAATTTATATTTTATTTTTAACAGAACTAGTAATTTTGATACAAAAAAAATGACAACAACAGAGTAAAAAACAAAATCGAGATGAAGAACAAAACCCATGAAGAAAGTTGAAGAATTAAATGATAATGAAATTCATGAAATCAAAGAACAAAACCAATGACATTGAAAAATAAAGCCTGCGAAGTCAAAGAGTAGCATAAAGTAAAGAAAGTATAGTTAGTAAAGAATAATGAAAACAAGAACCTAAAGAATAAAAAAGAAAAAAAAAGAAAAAAACACTCAACATGAAAAAAAGCCTATAATAAGGTTAAAAAATGAAACTTATAAACAAGTGAATTAAAGAACAAATAATAACAAAACCTGTGAAGTTAAGAGTAAAACGTATCACATAATGTTGAAAAGGAAGGAGTAATTGTAAATATTAGTTAGCCAATCAAATTTGATTAAATGATTTAGGGTCGCACTGGCGATACAGGTCGCCAATGACATTTTCCCATAATGATAATTATTATTATTAAAAAAAATTAAAAAGTTAAAGTATATTAAAAGTTTATTATTTTGATGATTGCATTCTATTGGATGGATATAGCTTATGATAATTTGTTTATATGGTATATGAACTTAATATTAATAAAGTATATAGCCCGCCTGACAATTGGGACTGTAGCGTGAACGAAAGTAAGTTGAATTAAACGTAAGTTATTTTTTTTTCAAATTTATTACAATATATTTAATATATTTTCTATTTTTTTCTTTTATAGAACAAAATAAAATATGAGTTTTATGTAAATGATTTCAAAGGTATTATATGATAATATCAATAAGCATCAATTAATTAAGATAAAGGTATGTGATTTGGGCAATGCAAATTATACAAGTAAATTTTCTTGATTTCCGCTAATCTGAAAAATTTTATTAATATTTAACTTTAATTTTATAGAAGATATTTTAAAAGAATTTGAACCCGAGATTAATGGAAATCTCACTAAAAGCAATTCACGCAATTAATTCATCTAATTTGAGATCAGGTATTATTTCGAAATTATAACTTTTACGATATCATTTTCAATATCTCATTGCTTTCTCATTCCTTATTGCATCATAGATGAGGGTACTTTCATATGAGTTTCCCGAAAAGATGAAATAAATAGTAATAGGTCTTCACGTACCGCGCAGAGATTTAGAATATTTAAAAAAGGCTTCCTAAGCGGTACGATGAATAATTTTCTGTCATCGCCGTAGTAGGATAGAACAATTTACCTTACAATGAAAAATATATAAATTAACTGAGGAAGAGAAAAGATTAAAATGAGAAAAAAGATTAAAAAGAGCGATAATCTAATTAAGTATTAAGTTATTTATTATTCATTAATAAATTGATTTGTTGTTGTTAATTTTTTAATGGCGTGTATTTCAAAAAGAGAAGTTAAGAGGTACTAAAATTTTCCCTTGATTGTTTTAAAGAAAAGAAATGAGGATATATTTTGTGATCGCTCGTGATGGTTAGTATATATTTAATTTTTATATGAAAAAATGGAGAAAATTGTTAAATTAAAAACAATTCATATTATTGATAATTATTGATATTAATGATCCAATAATTATATTTGCATCACGTTTAGGAAAAATTGACAGAACAAATTTTTGTCGCACAATTCGTGGCTAAGCAAAAAATTGTTCCGGACTGATTATCATTGCTACGGAGGAGAAAGATCAATCATAAACTCGAAAGTAAATTATTTATCTTTTTTCGAATCTAGTGAGAGCGTCGCACAGGCATTGCATGATCTCTTTAGGACCGCATCATTACACATGACTCGTTTTCTTATGTTCATTCAATAAAATAATAAAACTTTATTTATGGAATAAATCGTTGCCGGCAAATAATCTGCCTCAATGATATAAGCGATTTGAAAGCGTAAAAAAAACAAAAAAAAATTTGAAAAAAAGAAAAGGGAAAATAGAAAATAAAAAGTGGTTATGGCCCTAAAACATAGACTAGACCGCCACATATTCATCAATTTTCAATGTACAAAGTATTATTTTGTGAAATAACTGGTTCAATATCTGTAACTTGTACATCTTTTCCGCCGATCGCACTAAGACGTACAATATAAGCATAAGCAATTGCTTTGTTAGCATATTCTGGATTGTTCGGGTCTGAAATGCCTGGTATGAAGCAGAAAGTTACAACATCATGCACATTATACTGTCTATATATTTGACTGTAATTGTGTTGATTCTTTACTTCACCAATTTGATTGTTATTAACTCTTCCAACCACATCAAATACTTGTATTGGGTTTCCATTTGTATCATATGTATTAAGTCCGATTGATATACTTTCACCGTTAGTACCTGAGTCAAATCTAATAGTGCCCGAACAAACTTTATCATTATAATTGCCATTAGTCCAATGCAAAAGTTTGCTTACTGGGATACACATTGCAAATGGTACTTCATCACTAAGAAGAAAATCAATACAGTTTTCGCCTTGATTACATTGTTGATCGTGACTAGCCCTTGCATTATTATTATTTTTACATTCAACAGTCATTGTTTGCAGTGTTTTGCAATAGGAACTTACAAACACAGGATAGTTGGGGTCTGGACATTTAGCAACCGTTTCTCTCTTGGAAATAGATGGAATAGATACTCCTGCAGTTGTTGTTATGATAACAACTAGAAAGAAAGTGCATATTTTAAAAAATTGAGCAGATAATGTTCTCATCATGAAGAGAAAAGAGAATACAAAAATAAAAGTGTGTTTTAGGCTGTTCTTGTAAAATGATGTAATGTTTTTAGTGTATATTTTTACGAAGGAAAGTGTCGTTATTTAAATATTTTTACAAGATGCGATTTACAACTTCATACTCTTTATTAATATAGTGAGTATCTTTCATTCAATTAATTTTTAAAGAAAGTTATTCATATTAAATTTATTAATATCTTTCATTCAATTAATTTTTAAAGAAAGTTATGCATATTAAATAATTTATTAAAAGATACCGGAAGGGTATCTATCATAAAGATAAATGATTTTGAATTGTGCAATGTGGTACGTCTCCAGGTGATTTATTCCGTGTTAGTATAGCGTCTCCATATTATTATGACTAAAGGAATTTTGATCGGTAAGTTCATAGCATGAACGTTGATGATCATCTATTGTCACCGAAATTTAATCGTTCGTTGATTACTATTATTTATTATCTATCCTAAATAATAATTGAGAATTGAGTAATGTACAGTCTGTCTGCTCCTGATCTATTCCGTAATAATATAGGTTTTATTTCTTTTAGCTCTCTATATTATAGTTAAAAATAATCAATTAGTGAAATGCTGATCATGCCCTGATTACTAATCTATTATAAATATTATATTCTTTTTGGTTAGATTGATAGTCCGGGAGGTTGACTAGCAGTCGGGTTGACCCAAAATATTCGGTTATTCTTTTTTTCTAAATAGTTTTTAAAACCCGATTTTAGTTTATTCCTTTATTTATTTATTTTAATTAATATATTAAAAAATACCATTAAATTCTAAGAATTTTATTTTTTTTAGTATTTTTATTTTTATTACTTACATAGTTATAAATTAATAAGTGTATTTCTTTTAATATCCAAATATTTAATCTTACAAATAGAAAAAAATGTAAAAAAAAAATTTCATGATGTTTTTAAAAAAAAGAAAAAATTTAAAAAAAATTTTCGTCTAAACACTTTTTTAATTGATTGATCACAAGATCTACATGATCATCTACACGTAATTAACAAAAAAAAAGAAATATATTTGAAACTTTATTTATTTCTTTGATCAATAAAGATCAACAAAATCAAATACAAATATAAAACTTATTGTTTGATGCCGCAAGTTTATATGTAGTGAAAGTGGCACAAAAATGAATATTTTGTACGTTTATAGCAATAGCTATAGCTATAGCAATAGCTAATAGCTAATAGCTTTTTTTTTTTTTTTTTTAGCAAATTAA